TGCTTGTTTTTCCATTCTTGGGATACTTCACTTAGTAGTATGGGTTCCAGCTCTAACCAGGAAAATATAAGATGTGTTATATCCCCGTTATTTCTTAGAGCTGAATAGTACTCCGTGGTATACATATACCATATTTTATTAATCCATTCTTGGATTGATGGGCACTTGGGCTGTTTCCACAGCCTTGCAATTATGAATTGTGCTGCTATAAACATTCGAGTGTAGGTGTCTTTTTTGTAGAGTGTCATTTGATCTTTTGGGTAGATGTCCAGTAATAAGGAGGCCAAGAAACACCAAGAAGGGATAGGTATAATGTATGTGAAAGATGTTCCTGACAGATAAGAAGGGTAGTGATTGTGAGAGAAGTGAAGGCCATGTTTAAAGAAGTGAAGGCTAAGTTTTCACACCTGACTGTCCTTATTTATCATCCCAAAGACAACAAACATGGGAGTGTAATAGACTCCAGAGTTCTGGGGGGGATTTCAGACTTTCAGAGTATGCTGATTATTTGTCCAATTGTAGTCTCAAAAATCCTTAAGACTAGTGCTAAAATGAGGCAATACAAGCAAGGGAGAAAGGTGGTAAGAGGAATTGGTGAGTTACCACCACTTCTGTTTCTGTATGGCTCCAATATACTATTCCAAATATGCTCTTGGGTACCTGGGTAGAAGGGCAGAAGGAAAGGAAGAAGGAAAAATCGACATTGAAAAGGAATGGGATTTCCAGAAAAAGATTAGGTTAGATGTAGGAAATAATATTTTGCATATTTGAGTCAGAATATGTAAATTATGGAATATATAAATGATCATTCATTAAAATTATAAAAAAGTGTAACTTTTGAGTGACTGCCAAGCTCTTAAATATTATTGCTTTTAGCCTGGTATGGTGGTTCACACCTGTATTCCCAGTGACTTGGGAGGCTGAGGTGAGAGGATCAAGTTTGAGAATAATCTGTGCATCATAGTGAGACCTTGTCTCTGAAAAGAGAAAATGAAAAAAATTAGTAATGCATGATGCTGTGTCCTTGTAGTCCCAGCTACTCAGGATGTGGAGGCAGGAGCTATGATTGTTCCACTGCTCTTCAACCTGGGTGACAGAGCAAAACCCCATTTCTAAATAGCAGTAACAAAATTGTTGCCTTTAATCTTTTCTGTAAATGGTATTATTTATCAAATATTTTTGATTGTCCTACTCTCAATGGTCACATGAATTTTCCTAACCCCTTGTCATTAGGTGCTTGAGAAATATGTTGGTTTTTGGCTGTGGGAAGAAATTATGGGTATTAATAAAAATATGAGAAATTTGAGTCAATGTCAACTTTCAGCATCGGGGAGTGAGGACCTCTATAAAGCTGTTCTTTCATAAAAGCAATGAAATGTTGGAGAACATTGTCAAAATTAAATTTTCCAAAACTCTGAAAATCAAATGCTTGTGTTAATGAGAGCAGAATTTGTTCAAGGAAAGCAATAGAATTTTGGTAAGGAAAGCAGAGTTTGTGTTTTTTTTATATTGACTTATTGTCTTGCAGCTACTGGAGGAGACACACTGGTTAGGAGCTCCTCCCAAAGCCCCACTCCCAGAGCATTGCCACAATGTGATTCAACTGGCAGCTCCCTGGAAAAGCCTCATTCACAGGGTACCATTATTATTTGATCCTAAGGAAGAGGGAAAATTTATTTCCAGATATATTATATTGGTATATTATATTATCTAAAATGTTTCATTTTTTTACAAAAATTACAAGATGTGCAAAGAAACATCAAAGTATATGTCATATGCAGAAAACAAAAGCAGTTAGCAGCAATCAATATCCAGGGTATTCAAATTGTGGACTTAGTAGACAAAGATTCTAAATCAAATATTATGAATAGGTTCAAAAAACTAAAGGAAATCATGTCTCTTTAAAGAATTAAAGAGAAGCATGACAACATGGAATCAGATCTTCAGAAAAGGTTGGGATGTGTTTGTTCAAGGCATTTATGGATATCTCTGAACAGTTATAAGATGACAACTAAGCTAAATGAACAGAGACTTAGGTGGCTGCATTTACTACAGGGTATATAAACTTTATAGAATTAGAAGAAAGTAGGACAGTGATGTCTTGAGACATACAGAATACCAATGAAAAGATAGAAATTGCCTGCCAAAATTTAAAAAAAATCCAAATAGAGATTCCGGAATTGAAAAGTATAGTCACCAAAATTAAAAGATCACTAGAGGGGTTCAAAAACAGATTTGAGCTTTCAGAAGGAAGGATAAGCAAACTTGAAAATCATCAAATAAGATTATCTAGTTGTTGGAACAGAAAGAAAAAAGGACGAAAAATATGAATGGAGCCTCAGAGACCTATGGCATACCCATCAAGTAAGTATATCAGCATACACATAAATTGAATCCCAGAAGGAGAGGAGAGAGAAAAGGGGAAGAGAGGTATTTGAAGCAAGAGTGACTCACAACTTCAGCCTGCTGAAAAATATTAATCAACTCATCCAAGAAGCTCAATGAACTCCAAGTAGTATAAACACAAAGAACTCTACACTTAAAACCATCATAGTTAAAAGTTTAAATTAGAAGGAAAAGAGAATATTGAAAGCAGCAGGGGAAAACAATGCACACTGTAAAAGAAATCCTCAAAAAGAATGGAATGACTTCTCATAACATTTAAAGTGCTGAAAGAAATAAATGAAATATAGAACAGAGAAAAAAATCAGTTCTTTCAAAAGATCAACAACATGGATAAAATTTTACCTAGGATGACTAAGAAAAAAAAGAGAGAAAACACAAATTACTAAAATGAGGAATGAAAGAGAAGACATTAGTACTGATCTTATAGAAATAGAAAAGATAAGAGAAATCTATGACCAACTCTGTGCCAACAATGATGTAACTTAGAATTGAAGGTCACATTCCTAGAAAAAGACAAATAAGCAAAACTGACTAAATAGGAAAAAAAAATCTGTATAAACAAGGAAAGATTGAATTACTAATTAATAAACACTTCTTATAAGGCAAATTCCAGTGCTAACTGGCTTCACTGGTAATTTCTGACAAACTTTTAAAGAATTGATAGTTCTTCACATAATCTCCCAAAATATGAAAGGGGGAGACACACTTTGCAACTCATTCTATGAAGCTTGCATTAACCTGACACTAAAACAAAAGAAATGATCACAAGAAAACAAAATTACAAATGTCCCTTTATGAATATCGATACAAATATTCTCAATAAGATAGTACCAAACTGAATCTAGTAACATATAAAATAGATTTTCTGCCATGACCAAGTGGAATTTATCCCAGTAATGAAAGGTTGATCTAACAGCCAATAATCAACTAATGTGTAATATAGCATATTAATAGAATAAAAGACAAAAAACACATGATCTTTTCAAAAAACATAGAAAAAACATTTGACAAAATCCTCACTCAGGACAAAAAAAAGTTCTCAACATAATAAGAATAGAAGGGAACTTCTTAATCTGATAAAGAGAATCAATGGAAAACTCAAAACTAATGTGGTGAAAAGCTGAATGATTTCTCCCTAAGATCAGGAAGAGAGAAAGATATCCACTCTGGCAACTTCTATTCAACATTATATTGGATGTTCTAGCCAGGACAATTAGTCATGAGAAAGAAACAAAAGTAATCTAGACTGAAAAGGGAAACTAAAACTATCTATGTTTGGAAGTGATCTTGCATATAGAATTTCCTAAGGAATCTTGTGGGTTCAATTCAAATAATAAACATGTTCAGCAAAGTTGTAGGATATAAGATCAACATACAAATATCAAATGTGCACACCAGCAATGAACAATCTAAAAATGAAATTTAGAAAACAAAACCATTTAGAATACCCTCAGAAACATATAATATGTAGAAATAAAGTATAAGACTTGTACACTAAAAACTGTAAAACATTGTTGAAAGTAAAGATGATCTAAGTAAATAGAAAGATATCTTATGTTCAGAAATTTAAAAACTTAATATTGTTAACAGATAGTCAGCATAGTTTGCTTGACAGAAGTGCAGCATTTAAAATACAAAATATACACCATTTTGAAAATGAAATAATGCTAAAAATTTGGTTAGGCAAATATAAACCAAGAAAAGCTGAAAGATACAAATCTAATAGCTGACAAAATAGAATTCAAGAAAAAAAATTGGAAGGCATGAAGATAGACCTTATGTATTGGTGAAGGCAATTATTGCTTTCAACAAATAATATAGGTTTAAAATATGTAACATAGCAATTGACTAACTGGAGAGTAATACAATTATGTCTAAATTGAGACTGTTACTAGCAAACCCACATGTGTGCTATGGGCATCCTAAATTCACTTTCTGCTGCTAAACTGATTTTCAGACCAGATTTTAAAAAATTGCTTGAAAAATGCTGAGTACTTAGCAATGGTATCTATGATAGTTAGTCTAGTCCCTTGAGAATTTAGATTAACATGAATTTTACATATTGATTATAGTGGTATATTTATTACGGAGTGACTCTAATGATTAAAAATAAATGATAACTATCCATTCTATGATAACATATGCATCTTTTTACTTAAAATTTATGTTCTTAAGTGTTAAATTACAGCCTCATTTCATCTAACTTAAAAGCATTAATAATGTACTGAAAAGCATTAATAATAAACAGTGGGAACTTCAACTTTTCTATTTACTATCTGAAAGAGGTCTTCAGTATTGTAATTATTACTAATAAAAGATGCAATCTTAAAATTAACTACACAGTTTTCTATTTTTAAAAAAATAAAGATACTATGTAATTTCCTAAAGGTTAAAGTATCATGACAGTATATCTGAATGTTAGAAGAGGAACATATTCTAAAGTTGATGACTAAGACAAAATAGAATATCATCACAGTTCTTCATAACCCTTAAAAAGAAAATATAAATTTGGAAACTCAAAAATCAAGGAGCTTTTTGTTTTGTTTGAATTTCTGCATGGTCTCTGAATTTGTATTCTTTTTATTTTTTTGAAGGCCTATTCACAGGACGCCACATGAACATAAAACTGTGCTGAAGATGCTGAAAACAATTCCAGATTTAACCTCTCAGCTAAGCTATGAGCATCTGAAAACACTTAGTAAGAATGTCATTTCTGAAACCTGGGTGAAAGGCAGCACAGGTAATAGATTAATGTGGAGAGAAATTTGGCAAGATATAATGCAGGCCACTATTTTGAGTTCTCTATCATAATTGCTCATAATTTCACTTGACAATTTCACTTTACTTGCTAAAAATGTATTATACTATTTAAATGTATTTCATTTTTAAAGTTGTAGGTAGTGAAATGAATAAGATCTCCCATTTTAGTACTTATGGTTTTATACACTAGTATTTTTCCATCTTCATCATACGTCAGAATCACCCAGAAGACTCATCGAGAGCATATTATTAAGCTCAAACACCACAATTTCTGGTTCAGAAGGTATGGGATGGAGCCTAAATTGCATTTACAATAATATGTCATGTGATGCTACTACTAGTCTGGGAACCACACTTTGGGAACCACTATCTGAAATGCACATTCAGTATAATATAGCATTGATTTTCATAGTTAAGACAGGAAGTGGTCAAAGTAATTATGTGACTGATTCAGGTATCGATCTGAATATTTGAAAAAAACTCTCCAGATAGATTTCAATTTCCCAATTTTAGTCTTAAGTCCCTTTATCAAACATACAGTGGATACATTAATAGAACTTTTATATTTTAATTTTTGGTGGGAGGCATAGAATTTAATACATTCTTTGTGTCAGGGACATGCTTTTTTAAAATTCCTCATAGAAAACAAATAAAGATAGTATTTTTCTCCACAGATGAGGGCACCAAAGCACAAAAATATCATGCAGGGTATTCTTGGTTGGAATCAAGTTTCCAACACACTTCAGTCCAGTGCTAAACTCATTCTCTGCACATTGTGTCATAATTTGTCCAAAGTAGCTTATCAGGATCATGACATTCAAAGCCTAACTGGAATTTTGGTGAGCGTGTGTGTGTTGAAAGATTTACATATTTTGGAGCTTTCCTCTAATTATGTTCTCTTTTAATTGATCCTATGTAATCAGCAATCAAGCCGTGAAAAATAAATCAAAGGAGTTTGGAGAGAATAAAATAATTTTGAAAGGGAAAAAGTATAACCATTCAACATTGCTTTGCCATTAGCATGAAGATAGTAATTAAAATTAATTTATTTCATAAATCACTGAATTTTTAATGGTAAAAAATATGAGAACAATCTAAATGTCCTTCAATAGAAGATTGGCTACACATATCATGATATATCTCCTCTACGGAATTCTAGGCAGTGGTTAAAAAGAATGAAATAAGGCCGGGCGCGGTGGCTCACGCCTGTAATCCTAGCACTCTGGGAGGCCGAGACGGGCGATTGCTCGAGGTCAGGAGTTCGAAACCAGCTTGAGCAAGAGCGAGACCCCGTCTCTACCATAAATAGAAAGAAATTAATTGGCCAACTAATATATATATAGAAAAACTTAGCCGGGCATGGTGGCTCATGCCTGTAGTCCCAGCTACTCGGGAGGCCGAGGCAGCAGGATCGCTTGAGCCCAGGAGTTGGAGGTTGCTGTGAGCTAGGCTGATGCCACGGCACTCACTCTAGCCTGGACAACAGAGTGAGACTCTTGTCTCAAAAAAAAAAAAAAAAAAAGAATGAAATAGATTTATATGTATTGAGAAAGGAAAATTAAAGAGAGTAAATATAGAACAATTCCAGAATTATGCCAATGACATATTTATGAAAAAGTGTAAATTTACATTTACATATTTATCTTTAAAATATAGGACACTCCAAAAATATATATTTTTAAAATTGTTGCCTTAGTGGAGGGAAATGGAATTTGAGGGCAATGAAGGGGTATAATTAATTCTTTCTTATACATATATCTCTGTTGGTTGGATTTTTCCACAATTAATGTATATTCATGTGTTAGTATTTATAATTACACATTTTTTTCAAAAAGTTTCCCAAATTAAAATTAGAAGCCAACATTTTTTTTTCTGATGGCACCTTAATAATTCAGATGATTGTTTAAATATGAACTTTCACTCTTTAACAAATATCAATTTTAATTTGATTATTTATATTAAATAAGGCATTCCAACTTGCATTTCAATAGGGCGTACTTTAAATACTTTTCAAAAAAATTTAGAAGTCCCTGTGGTTACACATACCTGTGTCAAATTCTTTTTTCAGGTTTTTAAGTTATCCAATTCCAACAGCTCAGATCTGTTTTACTATCAAAGCAGTCAACTCATTAAATATCTGACCTTTGTAGATCTCTTTGTTCATCCAACTTAATAAACAAGCCCAACTAAGTGTCTGTCTCTCTCCCTTTTCTTTATTCATGTATGCGTTTCCCTCTTTCTGCGTTATTTAAAGTATTCCCTCTAGTAGCCCTTTATCACCAGCCTGCTGAATTTCAATCTGCTACTGAGGCTTTCATTTCTCTGGTGCAATTCCACACAGCTGTTTGCACCTTCTGGTCTCTTTTCTGGCCACTAGTTTTTTAGAGCTTCATTATTTAAGGAAGCTTCCTGAACTTACCATTATTCATTCAGCCTCTTACTCATTCAGTTCTTGTAAGCAATGAAATATTAACAGGGAAACAATATTATGATTTTAAGTAGTGAATAAAACCTATTCGATCTCTAGTTTAAGCGACAATGCTACTGAAATATGATTATTATATTATTATTTACTTACTATACTAAGATTAGTATCATATATATAAAGAGTACTTATATTAAAATTACAACATATATGTTACATGTAGTCATCCTTATATGTATGTACAGATATATAGATATAGTTTACTGAAGTCAAATGATCTTAAGAATTTCTCATTGGATCTCTATGCAGGGGACATTTTTAAGATTGCTAACCTAAAGCTCATGAAAACTAAAAAAATTAACGTGTTTGAAATTCCAATTTAGTGGCTAACCTGAAAAACTATAATAGATCCCATATCAAAATTTCATTATCACCTACCTTTAGGCTAGGTACAATTTATGTTAATATTAAAATACATTCCTATAACATGATTGATGGTATAAGTGTTTTTCTCTTTTCTATCTATGTCATCTTTATTTTCTTTACTTGTGGTCCATTAAGTATTATAGTATTATTTCTCTTCTGTTTCATTTTATTTCATTCTTTTCTCAACTTGTGTGAGGTTATATCTCAAAAACTCCATAACTCCTTATTTTAATAACATTTTATATTTATTTTTAATAAAAATATTTTATGTCAGTAAATTTTTAACATTTCATTAACTGGCATAGATTTTATTTTTTTGTTTTGGTTTAATTTCATTTAACATATAAAAACACAGTAGTTAAATCTCGGAAAAATATGGTAGGCATCTTTCCATTTATGAGTTAACCATAACTGAGATAATACACTCTTATAATAGAAGAGAGGTTTTTAATCCTACCATAGACCATGGCTTCCTTAAAGGCAAACAGTCTTGAAAAACAGTCATTGGTCTTAAAGTAGGGATATACTTTAATTGAAACTGAGGTCCTATGGTTTAAATGTTTAATGCATATGCCCCCACCCCCCATTCATCTGTTGAATTTCTCCCCCTTGAGGTGATAGTATTAAGAGGTCAGGTCATTGGGAGGTTATTAAATCATAGTGGGGGAGCTCTCATGAATTAGTGCCCTTATAAAAGGGGCTCAAAGGAGTCCCCTCACCCCTTCCACCATGTGAGGTTAGACTGTGAAGATGGTTGTCTGTGAGGAAACAAGCCCTCACCAGACACCAAATCTGCTGGTACCTAGATCTTGAACTTCCTAGCTTTCATAACTGTGAGAAATAAATTTTCATTGTTAATAAGCTACCCAGTCTGTGTTATTTTGTATTAGTCCTGAATGGACTAACACATGAGGTGTTCTCTATGGTTCATGAAGATCTGTCCTTGGAACCTGGTCATAAATCTTTTCCAAATGTCTATCTCCATTGTGAGGACCCATTCCATGTCTGCCTTACCCTATCCGAAAGATAATTGTGAGATTGGAAAAAAAAAAAAATCAGACCACAAAACCAACTTTTCAGTCTCAGGAGGATACAAGAGACCATTGCCATTGTGATTTTTTGGTGTAAGAAGGGCTCAATAAAAATATTAAGAATTAATTGGTTTTATGATTATTAAAAGCAATCACAGATAATTTGTGAAATTATAAATTTTCTTTTCATGTAATCTTTACAAATATTTAACTATTTTAAGAGTAACTTAATAATGCTATGAGTATGATGGATTCTCAATTTTTAATTTGTTCCTTTATTCCCTCTGTAACTGCCTTCAGTGAGGATATCAGTTTTAAAAAATTGCAATGTTGGCAGTTTGCATTTATAATAGTCCTCTGACCAGATACCGCAAGCCAGGATGATTTAATTAGCAACATCCTTTAGGAAGATCTATCCCCAGAAGAAGCTTAGCATTTGGCAAAGGTCATTTGTGAATAAGTTGATTCATTCTTTTCTCTTACAAGAGTGGTCCTTGTACCTTTCCTAACTTTCCAATTTTTTTTCATTTTCTTTATGAAAGTTTTATTTATTCCTATGATTCAATTTTGATTTATATGTTTCTAATTCTCAAACGCATAGGTTTTTAGCCCTTACTTCAACTCACATCCACATAATCGAACTGCTGCTTGATATCTCCTTCTTTGAAGTGCCGCTAGCATGTTGGGAAAAAACCATGAAAAAGCAAACCTCTCATCTTGCTCTCAATGTAGGTCTTTTACTGACAGATATCTCAATGGTACCACTATATTCCTTGTGAAAATGTTAAAACTATGTACTTTTCTTTACTACGTCTCTTTCTCTGTCTAAATTAATTGAGTTGTATCACATGAATTCAACTTTTACTTTTCAAATTCATTTTCTCTTCTTCTTCTCCAGGTCAATGCCTGGTCCAGGGCTCCATTCGTTATTTCTTACATAAAGTACTTTAATAGACTCATAATTGGTCTCTCATTTTCCTAATTTTCTCCACAAAAGTTGTGTAATGTATCATTGCATTATTTATCCATCTTCTAACTCTAACTGAGATATTATTGTTATAGGAATGTATTAGGAAATATAGGGAATATATTGGAAAATTTAAAAAAACACAAATAAGAAAAACTAAATGTCACTTAATCTCACTAACTTCTAATAGCTATAATTATCAGTTTGCAATATTCTCCAGTTTTAATGGTGTGCATTTTTTCTAAGAAATCATTTGTAATTTTTGTTCCTACCTCAAATTTATCATATTATAAAATTTTCTTGCGTCACAAATATTTATGTAAACCTTACTTTTTAATGACTGTATATTTTTGTAAGAGATATGTTATAATTTACTTGATCAATCTTTTAAAAAGGATTTTAAATATTTCCCTATCATGAATAATATGGTCTTGAAAATATTTTTTATATTTTTGCCTTAACTTTTACCTGTGCTTTGGATTATTTATGTATGACAGATTTCTAAAGTTAAAATAATGAATCAAAAGGTGGAGATATTTTTACAAATCTTGATACATGTCTACAAATTATCAGAATTGTATTACTCCAGTGTTATATAAAAATTCCAATATTGCTTCATTCTAAATTTTAAGTCTTTAATAATTTAAGTATTGAAAATCATACCTCACTTTAAAAACAGCATTTCTTTTATCCAGATCGAACATTTGGTAATCGGTTATTTGATGCATATTTCCAACAGTGGCTCTCCTAAGTGTTTCCTTTCTTTTAGTTGGATTCCTCAAAATACTTTTCCCTATACTGTTTTTCTAATAAACTGAGTTAGTTGTTCACTATTCCTCATCAACTTACCTTGTTTGATTGAAGGCCATCAGGTAACTCAATGTTACCTGCTTCTGTGGCTTTTTCATGCTACTTTGGGTGTTTTTCTCCTCAGATCTGTCAATCAAAATTTTATCTACATTTCAAGATACATCATATATACCATCTTTTTCATAAGTCATTCCAGAAACTCCCCATCACACTTAATTTATTTCTTCTTTGAATGTTCATATCATTTTATGATATAAATTTATCTACTTATTTAAGGATGTTTGCCTTGTGATACCTTTTATCATAATTATATACTTTGCAACTTCTATACTATAAGTATCAATATTGAAAGGCTGTTCTAATAGAAGGTTTGTGCTTGAAACAAAATGAAATAAATTTCTTTACATCCCTTCCAGTTAACTTTATGACACTATTAACATATTTGGGGTTGCTTTTAATCTAAAAATAAATATTCAGTTTTATTTGTAGATTGTCTTCCAGAAGTTTTAGTGATATTCTAAGAAAGGTTATTAGATGTGTGCCTTATAATAACTACTCTGGACAACTTAAGGGTGGTAATATTAGAACTAAAAGCAGTAACCCCATCCCCAAAGATTTTTTAATATCATGAAAGCTATGAAAAGGTCATTCATTGTTTTTGTTATGTTATCTCTGGAATCATTCAGACTTTACAAAAGAGATTCCATGAATTAAATGATCTGGTTTAAAATTTATATAGTTTTCTGATATTTTCATAGGATCCTACCTAATGAACTGAGAAGAAAGTAGGTCATCAAAGAGTTTTATCGTATTCAGCAATAGACAGAATTCAATTGGTCTCCAAATATTTAATAAAATTCTTTGGAAAGAAATACAATAGGGGATCATTAATGTAATTTTTATTTCTTCAAATATTTTTGCTAAATGCCTAAAGTAATCCAGGCAATGTGCTATGGGCTGGAGATACTGAGAGCAGTCAAGGTTTCTTCTCTCAAGAGGTTGCAATCTATTGGCAGACACTGACAACAGTGTGATGACAGAAATTGTGTGAAGAAAGGTCCCAGAGGAGGGGCATTAATTAGGCTGGATGGGAGCAGGGCAGAGATCAGGAAAGGCTTCCCGGGTAGAGAGATAACACTTAAACTCAATTTTATAGGCCAAGAAGGGATTAGCCAGCTGACAGTATGACCTTATTCATCCAATTATAGCTCTTTGAGACATTTAAGTCCTTCTAGATGGTTGATTTTAGCTGAAGGTCTGTGCACTACAGAGTGGAAAATCCTTAGTCAGGAAATTCACAAACACGTTTTCTTTAATCAAACTTTGGGTTTGGCCTTTAACCTTTTGAAAAGTCATTGCCAAAATGATTAATTAAAGTTTCCCTGACCAGTATTTTTAATTCCTTTTGAATGCTTTTTGTTCACTAATACAAATATGGTTAAGAGCTATTTTAAAATATGAGGTTCTACACTAGGAGATTTTTTTCAAGTCCTTATGAAAATATTTCTTTTGACCTTTCATGTAATGGAGGTTAGCTATTCCAAACTCCTGTTAATGCGGATATTTAGATCTCCTCCCATGAATCACAAGTGTTCTTACAGGTATCTAGAACAATGAATCCTTTCCAGAAGGTTTTCAATTTATTTCACCCAGGTCCATTAGAGGAATCATATCTATGGAATCTAGAGCATTATGAAATGTATTTCTTAAATAATAAGACTTGACAGTCAAAATCACAACTTGATCCATGGGCTGCAGAATGGATGTTGTGTTAGCAGGCATGAAAACAACATTAATCTCTTTGTACATTTCCATCAGAGTTCTTGGGTGACCAGTGCATTGTCAATGAACAGTGATATTTTGAAAGGAATCTTTCATTTTATTTATTTGAGCACTAGTTCTCAACATTGAGCTTAAAATAGTCAGTAAATCATGCTATTAATATAAACAGATGTGCTGTCATCCAGGCTTTGCTGTTCCATTGTAGAGGTACAGTAGTTTTAGTGTAGTTCTTAAGACCCCTATGATTTTTGTAATGGTAAATGAGTATTCATTGTAACTTATGTTACCAGCTTCATTAGCCTTTAACGAGATAATCAGCCTGTTCTTTGAAGCTTTGAAGCCAGGCATTGTTTTTTCCTCTCTAGCTATGAAAGTCCTGGATGGCAACTTCTTCCAATATAAGGCTGTTTTGTCTACATTAAAAATCTGTTGTTTGTGTAGCTAATTCATCAATTGTCTTAGCTAGATCTGCTGGATTACTTGCTGAAGCTTCTTTATCAGCACTTGAAGCTTCACTTTCACTTTCATGTCATGGAGATGGCTTATTTCCTTAAACCTCATTTACCATCCTTGCCTAGCTCTGAACTTTTCTTCTGCAGCTTCCTCACCTTTCTCATCCTTCAGAGAATTGAAGAGAGTTAGGGCCTTGCGCCTATATTGCGTTACCAAGAAAAGGATCTGCTTTAAGCTCAGGTATCCAAGCAAAAACAAACTTTGTTCTAAAGAAGAGTGAAAATCACTCTCCCATGGTCACTGTGTATGGGTTGCAATCAAGCAAGCCTCACAAATAACTACTCAGGTAAGAAAGAAGCAGAGAAGTAAAGCAGTTGGCAACATTTTGGGGTATAAAAAGAAACACTATCATCCCTGAAAATCAATTTGTAAAGTTTCTACTTATAGCAAGTTTATAAGCAATGTGTAAGAAAAGATCTTCTGACAGCACTTGAACAATTTGCTCAAATCTTACAAAGTAATGTAAACAATTGATACATGGAGAAAGACACCCATCCTATTCCCATACCCTCCTTCTTTTAAAGGGTAGGATTTCAAAGAGCTGGCACTAATTTAAGTTGCATTTAAAATGTTCACTGGTGAGTACACCTGCAAGACCTATGGGCACATAATTGGAACTTTAAGAATTGGGGTTGAATGACAGACTGTGGAGACTTATACTATGGAGTAGGACCGATTCTAGAAAACCTCTTCTCTCCCTTTCAAACTATCTCCTTTATTAAGTTCTTTCAGTGATCACCATCATGTCCAAAGCAAGAATAAATTATAGTTATTAGTAGGTATATATATATATGTATTGTTATATATTGGTATATATTATTGGCAATATATAATATAATATATTGGTATATATTATTGTTATATATACCTACTAATGTATAAAATTGGCAAAATGCCATTTTGAGGGGGAGTAAATATTTTTTAAAAGTTTAAGGGATTTTCTGGTCCCATCTTTCTCACAATTTCATGTTTTGTTTTTTTTTTTTTTTTCCTAGAACCTGTCTTAGAAATGACAGGATGGGCTACTATCTATAATTATCTAAAAAGAACTGTTCAAATATGTAGACATGCTTTTGTCATTCTTGTTATTTGATTGAATTATTTGTAAATGCCTAAATGTTACATTATAGTCATTATCATAGAATAAACTAAAAAGAGTCTATTCCAAATATAGCAAGTGCAATATATGTATTAGTCATATCTATGTCAAGGAGCCTGGGATATGAAGCATATAGTGTATCTTTTTGGTTTTGTTTTGTTTCAGTGATTGCAAATGATGGATTTTATATAATACTGAAAGGCTCAGCTCAAATTCAAATAAATGTGCAGAAAAATATGCTTGAAGAAGATGACTCAACAACCTCTTTGATATCTCAGAATTTCTATAACACTAATTTTAAAGAAGACTTGAGAAACTCTGTACGTGCTGAAATGAACCTACCTTTACCTGGCTTAATGGTAAGAGATGAATATTTGCTCTTTCCATAAACAAGATAACATGCTTATAAAATTTTACCACTTCCAGATATGTAGATCTGAATATTTTCAGAGTCCCGAGGTAGTCAAGATAATATATCCTTTAAAATATAAATTATACAATCCACGTTGAACTTGAAATTTGATTACAATTTTTTGAAAGATGCCTTCAGCAACATACTGCCCCCACTGGCAGGGCTTGTGCCCTGTATTTGAAAACTGAGACAAGGTCTGTGTGGCTGGATCCCTGAAGGAGGAAGGATGTTAGTTTGAGATGAGGGAGTGGGAACAGGTAATTTGAGAAGGAAGAGACAGAAGAATGATCATGAAGGGCTTTTAAATCAAATCAAGAATGTGTATTTTTCATGTTTATCTCAATAGCAATGGTAAAGTAATTAACGGGTTGATTTCATTACAGTCAGAAATTCTCAATCAAATAAGTCTTTTGCATATATATAATATTTCAAGACTTCAAGGCTAGCAGCTGGTCAAAAATAAACGTTCAATATCTCATTTGATCTCTGGGTACTCTACATTGGAGTCAAGTCTGGTTTGAATAGATTGTTGCCAAAAAACCCATTCTAGATTTAGGGTGGCCAAAATGTCTAATGTGGAAGAGGAACCAATTAAAGCCAAATTATTTAGCATTGTGGGTTGCAGTCAGAAACACCTAGGACCAGTAATATCAAGCTCAAGAAGAATGAGTATGTATAAAACCAAGAAAGATGACAAGGATAAAAATGAGACAATCTTATAAAAATATTGTTTATCTCACCTGAATGAATGATGTTTCTGGACCTCTTTCTTGCTGGGAAGGGAAAAATATACATTTGCGATGTCAGTGGCCACATACTATGGACCTGATGCCATTTTAATCTGCTCTTGCACATACTTCATATTTGGTACAACAGTTATGACAAGCACTATTTACTAAATTTGTAGTAGTCAAATCCAATCTTTGAGGATTCAGTTGGTTTTTTTTTTAAAAGGCAAAGCTTACATATTAAGTGAGGATGTGATGGGAATCACCAGCTCCACATCCTACATTAGGTCTTTGAGAACAGCACTAATCTGTGACATTTCAGCTGAGATGTGATGCTGTTTTATTATCCTGGCCAGGGTGGGGAGAGAGGTAGAGAGCAATTCAGAGACTTCACTTCATCTTCTTTACTGTGATGGCTCTTACCACACTGGCCAAGAAACCAATGTAGGGGTTCTGCCAGCTACCACATGTCCATTTAAATTATATACGTAGGGACCATGCAAATCACCATGGGATGTGGGTCTATGGACCCTGGTGAGCCAATGTGAACCATACCTGAACCAAAACTCTATTTTTTAGACATTTTTTATATTTTCCCACTGTAACAGATAGCCATGATGACATTTTATATACCAAGGTTTTAATGTCACTGTTTCAAGTTTTAGAGCTCCGTTTCTTCACTTCTTCCCAATCAGGGCCGTAGCCTTAGCACAAATTACCAAAATACTAACTGGGTTCAAAATTGTTATAGCAGAGCTCCAGAAAATATGAAAATATATAAATATATGTATGATATTTATATATGTATGTATGTAAGTATGAAGCAAAATCCTCAGATTTTCCTGCCCTCTAACCGTAAAAGATGAGATTTACTTTATATGCTGCCAAGGAACACTTGGATTAGATAATTCATCTTAAACTGGTGATTGATTTTCCTCACCTTTTACTGCTTTCCTCTAGTGCATTCCTACCTCCCAGCAAGTCATCCTATGCTGTGATTCTTATAATCACTCATCCCACAACATCTCAAAAGACTGAGATGTTGTACCTTCCAGTGCATTCTCTACCACCAGTACCTCATGCCTGTTCAACAGCATTAAACCTTTATCAGTTGTACTGATACAACATGTCAGGGACTATCAGTACTCTGGTGATGGATTCTTATTGCTAGCTGGCTGGCAGGCAGTTCAGCTCTAAATCTCATTTTTTTCTACTTTAATAGAATCTTTTGAAAAAATAAAAAGATAGAAATCAAGGCAGGCGATTTTAACTGTCAGTGACTGAATGGTTTCTGCTGTTGTTTAGGTTTGCAGAAAGACAAGTATTGGATTAGTGACTGAAATTTATTTTAGATTGCTTAAAAATTTAAATGATTCTTGCCAAGTCTGTCCCCTGTAGAAATTATGAGTTAGTTGTAGTTATAAAACACGTTGTTACTCTTTCCTTAATTTTAGGAACTTGACTTTTTGTGTATTTATTTAATGGACCTTTTTCAAATAAAAATATTACTGCTTCCAAAAGTTTATGCCTAGGAGAGTTTTGTGGTTTTATAAAAATAAATAAAGGTTATATTTTTCCTTCTTTTATTTGGATTTTTGGTTATTATTTGCTTTTTTATTTTGTTGTAACAGAGAACCAAACTACTAAGAAGGAGAAAAAATTAATAACATCTTCACTGTTCAATTTAACCCTGACAGTTTTGTAAACAAATGGGCATCATCTGAATATAATGAACATAAGTTGAAAAACATATAATCTAAGGTTGAAATTTATTTTTCTTGAGTTGATTTATAATTCTGAGTAAACATTGTTAGAGTTACAAACATCTGCTGTATTTACTCTCTGCTATAGATCTAAGCTAGAGAAAAAAAATTAGTATAGTATAAATGTATAGAAAATTTTGTTTTGCTTTTTTTGATAATAGATTTATACATTAAAACTAAAATCTTTTTCATTTGAGTGTTTTAAATAAGGAAAGAGAGAAAAATTCCATAATCATTTACAAGATTACCAATTTAATACTTCTAAGTAGTCTTAAAATCTGTAACTCATTTTATTTTTTGCAATTAGTCTTACAATTTTTCAAGTTACAATCACAAATAAATTCAAATTTCTTTGAGACATCTCAATATCAGTATACTGTTATATGGCAAAATACATATATATGTCTATATATACATATACATAATACTCTCCTATATTTTATATTGATATACTTCTGTATTTAATATATATTTCTGTGCTACAATAAAATATATTTAATTAAAATATATTCTTGATATGATAAAAGTTAGCAACATTATAAGAACAAATTATTAAGTTGAAGGTCCTCAATAATTATTAAAAGAACTTTCTAGTTTATTAATAGAACTTTTCTTTGAGATACAAACATTTGAAGCTATGTGGAAAAATTCATTTGGTAAGAATATGTATTCAACAAGCTGGACCCAGTGGAAGCAACATTATAAAATAGCTTTTTTTGTTTTTTTTTCCCACACTAAAGTTTTCAAACAATTAGTACAGTATTATTCTTTCATGCTCCCTGGATGAAGTCTCAATCAGATCCTAGGTATTAACAAATGGTCTTGTTTTTGTAGTCTTAAAAATTTCAGTCCTGTCTTTATATTAAATTTTTAATCTGTCTTCCCCTTTTCTTACTTTACATACTCTTCTACTTACGAGCTCTTTTTTCTGGCTCTTCTTAGCCAAGATCAGGAAGGGAGGGAGAGTGGGAATTAAAGATAAAATGCTATGGGGACCTTCTATAATCGGATGTCCAAATGTAGGCTCTTTTTCTGTTTTTTGTGTGTTGTTCTTCCTGTAATCCCCTGACAGGTATTGCCTCCTGTAGGGAGTGATTTAATACCACACCTTGGGTCCATGGTTTAGGGCAATATTGACCACAAGGGTCTTTGGGTCAACTCATCTTTCCAGGACGCTCTCTAGACTTATTCCCTTTCCAGAGATTTTATGCTGGCAACTTTTTGTAGGTCCACCTGACTAATGGGGGAGAGAGAGCCTCACATTTACTCCACTAAATGTCTGTCTTCTCATTTGAGGCCAGGGGTCAGAGGGAGTGGAGGAGGGAGAAAACCTCAGGACTCTGACAACTGTTAAGAAGAAGGTCTATTTTAATCCTTGCTGCCAACTTCCCGATCTCAGTTTTCAAGAGGATATTGAATTTAAGGTTTAAGAAGTTTATACTTATTTGAGACACTACTTGAAATTATGGATGGACTTTGACTTATACCCACAATAGCATTTAACACAATAATTAATACATGGAAGACTTTTGAATGGATAACAATAAAAGTGTCCAGCAATGTGTCTCTTACACGAAGAAGGAAGAATAATAGTGTGGTCACTGATGTGGTTTAGGAGTGAGATTATAAGAGCGTGAAATATACTGTGGTTTGTCCACTGATAAATGATTTCTTCCACTGGAGAAATAATATATCTTTTCATAGGGCAATTAAATAGTAATTTCATCTTTAGATCCAGAATAAGACTCGACCAATAATTTCAAGGACAAATTCCAACAAGGACAAATTCCAACTAATTTTAAGTTCTTGGTCAAGAATATTGGAATATTTTGGAAAAGTAAAGGCAAAGTTATGTTTAATAAGGACAAGGAGTATATTTATAATATCTCATTCCTCTGCCTCCAGATTTCTGATAGTGGGTGCTGCTGATGTGCTGTGTATGCTGTTCACTAGGCTCGGTTCCCCTCATTTGTTTATTGCCTCTCTATATCTGGCATTCTTCACGGATTCACCCCGAGTCTGGTTGATTCCCTCTATCTTGTATCTCATTTATTCCTGGACTTTTAAATGGTTCTCTGCTACTTTTAAATGTTAGTCTTCCCTGACTCCTACCCTAAACCCTTATGTAAGAGTGACTTCCTTGAAGTCAAGGAGCTTATTTTTTTCTGATGCCTAGTAGAGTATACTAGGAACTTTGAAGATGTTCAATAAGAATAAATTAAATTAAGTTTAGTTTAATTTAATTAGACAGAGCCTTCAAAATATCAAAGATGAACCGTGAAATGAGTTTTGATTCGACTAAATTGCAAATGATGGAGGATTGAATCCACATTGATTCAAAGCTCTGTTTTTATATATTACATTTATTTTATCCCAATTGACATGTTTAAAATATATGCAATTACATTGTGCTTAAAATAAAATGTAAATATTAGAATATTTAAACGCTCACAGCT